CTCGACCAGTTGCATTGATTGATCGGCCATGCCACGACCGCTCCGACCATCAGGGGAACGACCGCAAACAGTGGCACGAAACTCTCGTCCTTGATGTCCTTGCTGATATTGGCCGATGCTCTGTAGTAGCACATTGCAAGCAAAACCTTCCTACTGCATCAATGGGAATTAAGCTGCTCTCGCCGCTGATAATGTAGATGCTCGCGTCTGGCACGTGCTCCCCCAGGTCATCATTGACATTATTCTTGGCCGCCGCGAAGGCCGGATCGCGCGGTAGAGCGCCTTCGCGCCCATCTCCTCTGCTGACTCGCTCTCGCGACGTAGACCCTCGATCCTGGCGGCGCCCATGTCCGCGTTATCCATGGCCGCGCCAAACCGCTCGAGAATTCCCCTAGTGCCCATGCCTGCCGCAGCATGCGATTCCGCGGGCAGCGATGATCTCGCGATCCGCGACAGCTTGAAAGGTTTCCAGGCGATACGCGCGAGGGCGGAATCGCATCCTCGAAATACCTTCTCGCGACATGCCACGATGACGCATCCCCCCCGGCATGCTGCGTCGGGTCGAACGTTCCAGGCGGCTCTGTAATGGCTGCGCATACGACGTCACCGGTCTGGCCGATCACGAACATCTCCAGTCCGGCGTCCGATTTCTACTTGTAGAAAGTTAACGAACTGTTGACTGCGTCGCCGCGGGGCTCGTCGCCGCCGCCTGCTGTCCTCGACGCTGGCCGACCGATGCCAGCGCGCGCGGGCGCGCTTGTGATCTCGGCCACTGCAACGCCCCCAGTGGGCCTCGCAGGTGCCGCTGCTCCTCGAGGTTGAGCCCACTCAGATCGTCGACATTCTTCTGGTCGCGGGCATTCTCACTCGCGCGCGAGGTCGGATCTACGTCAGTGCCGCAACAGCCCACATGATCGACATCCATGCACATCCTGAACTGGAACTCCTGCTCAGATAGCTCAACAACCTCTTCGCAGCAGCCCCCCGGTCCCTGGCCCCCAACCCCCTGGGCGTCGCCATCGCGCAATGAAGGAAAACCGTCGGCGGGATCTTCCTGATTGAAACTGACGAACGCGCGCGGGCCCACGGGATGCCGCGCAAATCCGCGCGCCTCGAGGCCGCCTGCTGCGCGCTGCCATCATCGAATAAGGGCGCCCACTTGCCTGCGCAGAGGCTCGACGAGCTCGGCGGGCACCTCGGCGCCCGACCCCGCGAGATCTGCAGCGACCTTCGGAAAATTCGCACGCGAGCTCTCTCCTGGGATCGCCCCAGAAGGAGTGGCGTCGCCATCCAATCTCCATCTAGCTAGCTGCCAGCAGCATGCCCAATTGACGCCACAATCTCGCCGTCGTCATTCTTCACCTATCTTCGCGCCTTTTTCGCCCCCGGGACCCGCGCCGGGCCACCTCGGCAGGCCAGCCCGGGGAATCCCCATGCGTTCCTGCTAAAGAACTCCTCGAGCTCCTTTCGCTCAACCCCCAGGAATGCCGCGCGCTCGCCAGGCTGCGCGGCAGGCGCGGCGAAGCTCGCGCGGGCATAACTGAGCTCGGCTCGGGCGCCGTCGGAACCCCATCCGAAAGGTACGTAGCTGTCTTCGAAAACTAGCTGCAGGGTTGCCAGCGCGTCGTCGGCGATATTGGGCACAGGCATCGCTGCGCTGAGTCCCAGCGATGATGGAGGTGGTCCGCAGCACACTCCATCAGGCCAATCGGAATATTGCTGTCTCTGCCGCGCCCTGTCGTCGTGGACCCTGCCACAAAAGGGTTCGCGCGGGCGGCGGCGGCGTCGTCGGCGTCGGCTCCTGCCGCCCGTCTCCAGCTGACACCATCGAGCCGCCATCTGGCGCAGCCGCGTCGTCGTCGCGAGCCTCGTCAGGCGGCAATGCCGCCGCCCCTGCAGCCGACTGATCTGAGCGAGTCGCCGTCGAAGCTGGCGCTGACGGGCCCTCGTAGGAAGCCGCCGCTGCCAATCCTGATGACGCGGCCTTCGCGGCTGGAATCGGCGCCACGTCAGTGGGCGCCCCCCGCCCGCGCATGGCGGGCGGTCGTCAGTCGCCATCATCGCCGGCGTCGTCGTCGCCCGCGCCGGGATCGCCCAGCGCCCCGAAAGGGGCCCACTGCCAGTTGACGTCGTGGAACTGCGCGGCGCCCGTCTGGCGCACGCCGCCCACGGTGTCGTCCCCCATCTCTACCTTCTCGCGTAGAACGCACCCTAGGTCACCTACGTCCTGGTACATGAGGTCCCGCGCGAGCATTAGCAGCTGGGTGCCGGTCGCGATCCGGTAGATCCCAGGGGCGCTCTCGTCCTGAAGAATCTCCACGAGCACGACGATGGCCGGTCTTCTCCACTCGTTATTGATGAGCTCCTTAGTCTTGCCTTCGCACCACTAGCACTCCTTGCCGATGGGCAAGACAGGCTTGCGGGGGGGGGGGGGGCGTCGTAGAAGGGCGCGCCATAGCTTGGCTGAGGCGTCAGCCTTCACGAAAGCGGTCGCCGCCATCGATCTCCTCTCCAACATGCCCTTGGAGTCCTCGTCCTCCTTCATGTGGCAGAGGGTCCCTGGCAAAAACTTGCCACTGGAGTTGATCACGGCGTCGTGGAGCCCACGCCAAGCACCCAATGGCATAGAGAGTAGCCCTTGGTAAACGCCAGTGAACTGACCAGGCGGGGCATATAGACCTCGTTTACGTTTCGTCTGCGGTGAGCTTCAATTGCTGCCTGCGCTGGCCATCACCACGACTGTGAAGACTTCTCGGGACAGGCGTAGGTCGTTGAATGGCTCTCTCGCGTCGGTGCACGCTGCGAGAAGTGCAGTCGCACCAAATCTCGTCGTCCTCGGCTGAATGCTGCTGCTCGTACGGGTCCTCGAACCCGAGTGCATCGCCATTCTGCAAGTCGCAGTCCTCCGCATCTGGATACCCTTCTCCATCGTCGATCTAGTACTGCTTCCGTGTGTGATTTGGCTCGTACGCTGCGCCCTCCTGCCCGAGTGTCGTTTCGAGCGCCTCGATAATTTTGTCCTGGGCGAACTCCCTTGCCAACGGTTAGCATGATAAGTGCCGTTGATACGAAGTGTATCACACTCGTCGGGAAAAACTGGCAAACTCGAACTGTGGCTGACAATTGGATCGCGCGGGTTTTGAGTTTCTGCTCCGCCGTTCCGAACCTCGAGCTGCATGCGAAGATCGGCTCGCCCTTCACCCGCCTCACACCGTAGGGGTAATCCTCACAGTCGTCCACTAGCTCGCACGGTCGTCCATATTGAACTGCGTACGCAATGTGTCCATTAGTTGGCAGGTCGCTCCGGGTTTGGTCACGTGGTCGGCCGACCTGTCGTCGATATCGTCCCGATGTTTTCCTGTCTGGTCGGTCACCAATAGAAGAATTGGTTCGCCCTCCTTGGTCTCTGGTGTAAGTTGCGCCACAAGTATCGCAGCAAGTTTCTCGTACTCGCTCCATGTGCTGAGCTGCGCGTCACATGTTGGAACCCTCCCTCTAGAAGAGATGCCATCGCGTCGAATCCGTATCCAGTGCTTTCACCATCTCGGGCATACTGGGCCTAATGGAACTCAGGCTTCAGAAAGGGCGTCCACTGGGGCGTCGGAAAAGAGGTCGTAGGCTGCTGTGAAGTCGATGTAGACCTGGCAGGAGGTCGATTCCTGGTCGACGCTGTGGTTGCAGCCGCCGTCCCTGCTGAGCTGGTCTCTCAGCTGGTTCTGGAGAAGTGGAGGGTGCGAGCTGGTCGGAATTTGCTCCCCTACCAATATGAACTTCTCTGAGCTCTGGAAGTCCCAATGGAATCTGGAAAGGACAATAGTGATTAAGAGAACGGCCATGGGTGTTCTCAAACCGCTATGCTGCGCATGACTCAAAAGGCCTTCGCGGGTCAGTTCGGGCCATGTGGGCAGCGCACAAGCTCCGCAACACAACACTTCGCTGCACTGCTGCACCGCTTGCTGACACAACGTGCTGCACAGCGCAGATATGACAGAAGGGCAGCAGCGGCAGCCGGAGGAGAAGGGCGAACGGGAGCAAAAGAAAGAACAGGGGAGAGTCGGTCGACCGAAAAGGGAAGCGGAGGAGGAATGGGGGAAGGAGAGATCAAGGGAGAGGGAGGAGGAGGGAGGAGGGAGGGAGGAGGGAGGAGGGAGGGATTCGTGTGCTGCCCCTCGGCTCTCGCTGGATCTTCTACTACTCATCAAGGTTTAGCTGGATCTGGATGTCCATGCACGCACCAAGACAATGTTTAGCCTTGCATCGAGCTGCGGTCACTGCATCGGCACCCCCACAGGTCGATTGCGGATGGGCGTCGCGCCCTCAGAGTTGTGGATGCCACGACAATGGACACCCTAACAGTCCTACCATCGGATTAAAAAATGTGTTTAGAATATCGGAACAATGTCCTGGAAATGTTTAAGACACGTGTCTTGCGTGTTAAAACAGTTTTAACACATGCTCGAAACATCTGGAAATTAGTTGGCCACACGCTTCCTCTCCATTGATCGTCCTCCACAACCTCAGAGAGACGGTGAGGGGGAAACGAAAACAAGAGCAGCACGACGCCCAAGAACACACACCAGAGCCTGGAGAGACGCGCCCGAGATCGCCACAAAAAAGAGGCCCCGGGAGGCCCAACCCCGTGGATTTCTTGTCCTTCCTCTGGGGGCCGGCGGAGTGGCGCAGGCCGCCTGAAGAATGACAGCAAGCCCATCAATTCTCGGAGGCGGGGCAGCGACGTAACCCATCGGTCGGGACAGGTAGGCAGGAACATGAAGCAGGAAGGCGTTGAAAGTAGATTGGCTTCCGTCCGCCCCCTAAGCAGGACGGAAAAGGTGAAGCCGCTCGGTCATTGAAGTAGGAATGCGCTTCGAGTAGATTGGAATCCGGGACCCACAAAACACCTACTCTCAACGACCGATGAGTATGCTCGTGCCGCTCTTGCTCGACGAGAGCGGGGGAGGGCGAGAGAGAGGGGGAGCCCCGCCCCCATTTGCCCTCCTCTAGATGAAGCAGGCGGTGGGCTCGGCCGCAGGGTGCACGACAACTATCCTCGAGACGGCAGCGCGCACCGCTGCCGCCGTTGTTCCTGCTGCTGCTGGTTGTCTTCTTCCTCTTCGTCCTCTCTCTCTCTCTCTCTCTCTCTCTCTCTCTCTCTCGCGGCCATATAGTTCTCCGAATGCCGCATTCCCCTTCCTCCTTGCCCTCCTCCCTCTCCATCACCCTCATCGCCATCATCATCATCATCATCATCATCATCATCATCATCATCATCATCATCATCATCATCAGCAGCAGCAGCAGCAGCAGCAGCAGCAGGCAGCAGCAGCAGCAGTATCATGGGCATCAGCATCATGGGCATCATCATCATCATCATCATCATCATCATCATCATCATCACCACTTTCATCATCAGGAGCATCATCAGAAGCATCATCATCATCAGTAGCATCATCAACCGCATGAGCATCAGCATTATCAGCAGCATCAGCATCATCAGCATCATTATTATCATAATCAGCATCATCAGCATCATCAGCATCATCAAAAATCATCAGCAGCAGCATCAGCACCAGCATCATCCTCAGCATCATGATCAGCATCATCATCACCATCAGCAGCATCATCACAATCATCATCATCACCACCATCATCATCAGCAGCATAATCATCATCTGTATCATCAGCATGATCAGTCTCATCAGCATCATGATCATGACAATAATCATCAGCATCAACATCATCATCAGTAGCATCATCATCGTCATTAGCATCATCACCTTCAGCATCATCATCATCATCATCATCATCATCACCATCACCATCACCATCACCATCACCATCATCATCATCATCATCATCATCATCATCATCATCATCATCATCATCGTCATCATTTAAAATTTCCCCCTCGTCATTGAACGTCTCGTCGTGCGCTGCTGCTGACTTCGCCTTTGTGCGCAGTCTGCCGCGTCCGGTCGTTCCTCCAGGTCACGAGTATCTGGCGTCAACTCGTTGGCAGGTTGGGTCACCACGATGCTGTTCAGCCACGTCCAGTTCGAACCACCAGTCTCTAACGAGCCTGGACCTTTGCAACGTTTCTTTGCTGCTTGCGCGGTCTTGCGCGAGCGCACGCTGCTGGACAGCTTCAGTGCTACCCCTCGGCTTCTGCTGCCCCTCCTCCAGTAGGTGCCAACCAGTCTGACCGCCGGAACCACTATTGGCAGCCCATACTGCGTCGGTCCACGGGCAAACGAAAGGAGGAGGAGGAGGAGGAGGAGGAGGAGGAGGGGTGGCAAGTTCTCGATTGGGCGGAATCGTTCGAGCAGAGAGTGCCCCGTGATTTCGGATGAGCGCGTCTGACAAAATATTGTTGGGCTCATCGCGCATAGTTTCTTTGCAGGTTGAGTCCAGCTATGCCACAATCACCTGACGCCACACAGGCAGTTACGACAACTTTCGTATTCCTGCTGTTCCCCGTCTTTCAGCGCCCTTCGTCATGGATTTCGCTTCGCTCGTCCTGCCTTCAGCCTCCTTTCACAGGTTGGCGTACGTACGCCTGGTCGGGTCTTCGAGCCTGACATGCGATAAACCGATGGCGACACACAGGTTATTAGGCGCCATTTCGAGCGCATCTTCCCAAGCAGGTAGTTCCGACGAGATCTAAATGCTGCCTGCCCCGCCACCTCCTTTGAGCGCAAGAAAACGTTTACCTTGGCTCTGCTGGGGACGCAGGTGGTCTCGAAAATGCGACGCCCCGATGATACATTCCGAATGGGCACGGCCTGCGCCAATTCCTGCGTTGCATCACCCTCCCTCCTCCCTCCTCCTCCTATTCCTACTCCTCCTTCCCCTCCTCCAACTCCTCCTTCGCCTCCTCCACCTTCTCCTCCACCTCCTCCGCTCCTCCTCACCAACACCACCATCACATCATTCCCTCCTCGCTTCTCGCCCAACCTCCAATCAAGGGCGGTACAAAACAGAGTGGCTTCCAGGCTCTGATTGCCCAGGCATGGTGATCTGCGGTGGGTACAATGTCGGCGGGACAGCTGTGCCGTTCACACTTCCTCCTCCTCCTCCTCCTCCTCCTCCTCCTCCTCCTCCTCCTCCTCCTCCTCCTCCTCCTCCTCCCCCTCCCTCATCTCCTCCTGCTTCTTGATATGTTTCGAATTATTAAAAGTATTGTTATGATTATCCTGGTTCGTATTTTTCTCAATGGTAGTATGAGTATGCTTATTAATAGGATTAGTATCCCCTGTCTTCTCATAAATCTTCCGATGCTTATCTTTATGACTGAAAGAACTGTTAATAACGTTTGTCTGATTATTATTACTCTTCTCCAACTCCTCCTCCTCCTCCTCCTCCTCCTCCTCCTCCTCCTCCTCCTCCTCCTCCTCCTCCTCCTCCTTCCTCCTCCTCCTCACCACCTCCACCTCCTACTCTTCCTCCTCCTCCTCCCCTCCTCCTCCTCCTCCTCCTCCTCCTCCTCCTCCTCCTCCTCCTCCTCCCCTTCTCTCCAGCCTCCTCCTCCTCCTTTTCCTCCTCCTTCTCCTTTTCCTCCTCCTTCTCCTCTTCCTCCTCCTGCTCCTCTTGCTGCTCATGGTCCATCACCATGACCATGAACAGTATCATCACTACCATCAGCATCGTCGTCATCACCACTCATCATCATCATCATCAGCATCATCATCATCAGCAGCAGCAGCATCATCATCCTCATCCTCATCCTCATCAGCATCATCATCATCCTCATCAGCATCATCAACATCATCATCAGCAGCATCCTCAACATCATCAGCATCATCGGTATCATCCACATCATCATCATCATCGTCACCATCATCATCATCATCATCAGCATCATCATCATCAGCGTCATCATCAGCATCATCATCACCACCAGCAGCATCATCATCATCGTCATCATAATTATCAGCATCAGCCTCATGCTCATGAACATCCTCATCCTAATCATCGTCGTCCTTACCAGCATCATCAGTAGCATGAGCATCCTCATCAGCAGCATCAGCATCATCAGCATGAGCATCATCATCAGAACCATCATCATCAGCACCATCAGCATCCTCATCCATATCAGCAGCATCACCATCATCAGCATGAGCATCATCATCAGCATCATGAGCATCAGCGTCAGCATCACCATCCGCATCATCACTATCATAATCATCAGCATCAGCATCGGCATCATCATCGTCAGCATCATACGCATCAGCATCATCAGAAGTATCAGCATCATCCTCTTCATCATCGTCATAATCATCACCATCATCATCAGCACCATCAGCATCAGCAGCATCAGCATCATCAGTATTAATTGCATCGTCGTAATCTTCGTTGTCGTAATCACTTTCATCAGACTTATCACCATCACCACCATCAGCATAATCATGACCATCAGCATCAGCAGCAGCATCATCGCGATGGTTATCATCAACAACAACGTCATTGTCATGGTCGTCATCATCAGAACCATCATCATCGCCGTCGTCAATAATTACCAGCAGCAGCAGTACTGTCATCATCGTCATCATCATCAGCACCATCATCGTCATCAGCTTCATCACCAATATCAGCCTCAGCCTCATCATCATCAGCATCAGCATCAGCATCCACATCATCGTCATCATCAGCAGCATCAGAATCATCAAAGCCATCACCGTTGTCGACGTAATCATCACCATCAGCAGCACCATCATCAGATTCCTCTTGCTCCTGCTCCTGGTCCTGCTGCTCCTCCTCCTCCTTCTCCTCCTCCCCCTCCTAATCCTGATCATCCTCCTCTCCTTCCTCTCCAGCCTCCTGTTGTTGCTCCTCCTCCTCCTCCTCCTCCTCCTCCTCCTCCTCCTCCTCCTCCCTCCTCCTCCTCCCCCTCCTCCTCCTCCTCCTCCTCCTCCTCCTCCTCCTCCTCCTCCTCCTCCTCCTCCTCCTCCTCCACCTCCTCCTCCTCCACCTCCTCCTCCTCCTCCTCCTCCTCCTCCTCCCTCCTCCTCCTCCTCCTCCTCCTCCTCCTCCTCCGCCTCCTCCTCCTCCTCCTCCGCCTCCTCCTCCTCCGCCTCCTCCTCCGCCTCCGCCTCCTCCGCCTCCTCCTCCTCCTCCTCCTCCTCCTCCTCCTCCTCCTCCTCCTCCTCCTCCTCCTCCTCCTCCTCCTCCTCCTCCTCTCCTCCTCATCATCATCATCATCATCATCATCATCATCATCATCATCATCATCATCATCATCATCATCATCATCATCATCATCATCATCATCATCATCATCATCATCATCATCATCATCATCATCATCATCATCATCATCATCATCATCATCATCCGGACCGTCCTAGCTCAGGTGTGGGACCTGAGCTTGCACGCGCGGACTTCAGAGCGGTTGGTCCTTGCGAGCTTGAAGACTCACGACGCGCCCGACAGGCCCATGGCATTCAAGGATACGCCTGGGAAGCGGGTTCCGAAGGAGCTTCAATGGACGTGTATGGGCAGGTTCGGCGGCTGCCCCGATAACCTCTCTTGAGCGGAGTGCAGTAGGGCCTGTGGGACCAAGGCCCCGCCCAGCGTGCTGCTGGCGGTCCTCAAGTCTTTCGGCACCACCATCAGCGTTATAATCTACAAGCTCCTGCACAATCTGATGATATCTTGAGATTTTATTTTCTCAAACATTTGTTTTGATCCCCAGAAGAAGATTAGCAAGCATAATTAATTTTTTGACAAGTAGCTCAAACTATATGTGTTCATACATCGTATCGCAAGTTCCCATTATCTTGCACACCGTGTCTAGAGCTCCGACTTCATTTCGGCACGGCACTGGTCCATGCAGCCCCTAGGCCCACACCTCCCAGCGCGCCCCCTCCGCATCCACTTTCTAAAGAAGCCATGCCGAAGCAGCCCCTCGCCCCTTTGCATCCCTCCCCCGCCAGCCCGCACAGCCAGCCCGCAGCCAGCGCGCCCCCTCGGCACCGGTCCCACCAGCCAGCACGCCCCCTCCGCCCCGACCGCTTTTTTTCGGCACGGCACCGGTCCCACCACCAGCCAGC